ATATTCTCTGGAAAGTTTGTCTCTGTAGACTTTGTAAAAGTGAGAAGTCGATAAGTATGAGACACATTTATGTAATTTAAGATTAATGATTAACTGTTAAAGCTCAGGCTTTGTACAATCAAGCCTGCTGTTCAGCAAAGAAACAAACCCTTTAAATCTCTGCAGCTGCTGGAGGAAGCCAACTTCTAAGTTGCTCTGTGTGATAAGATGCCCTGAATCCCAGGCTCTGGCCATTGACTGGCTGTGAATCAGCGGTTACTGACTGTCTCCGGGGTGTTTTGGTTACAGTACTCTTTCCCAAAGGGCAATTGTCATTTGGATTTATGCCTGCTTGTAACTGCTTTTTCTCTGGTTGTGTTCAAGCATTGGTGCATGACTTTGTGCATTTCTTAAACTTAAGACTTACAATTTCTTGTCTCCCAGATCATGTATTTCACCAGGGGAGAATAGACTCACTTTAAAGATTTGTAATACTTGGATTTACTCATACTGGGTCTAGCAATGTGACTTTTTTTTTTTTTTCCTTTCCAACAGAATTATTAAATTCAGACAGATTTTTTCACACATCCAGGCCATGAACAAGTGCCTGAGTTACCAAGTTTAAACAACATCTTGGCAACTTTAAAACATTTGGCTGGTCAGCAGGAAAGGAAAAGCTGCTTGTAAAGCACTGGAATGCATTTTCAATTAGTCACTACATTGCTTAAAAGGCCAGGCATTAGGCACTGGGAGGAGAGGCAGGGGGATGGCAGTGCTGGCGGGAGGGACAGCATGAGACAGTCTGGAGAAGAGCCTTTATCAGCCCAGAACAGCAGCCCTGAAGTTTGAGGCCACTCTTTAAAAGATAAGCTGTTGTTTAACAACAGCCTCCCCAGGGACAATGAGGTTTTCCTGGTACAAGACCAGTGTTTCTTTCAAATAGTTTAATATTGCTTTTTATGAAGGAGCAATGGAGATGAGATGATGAGCAATGGAAAATATGTATTGGGAAGATGTTAGCAGTTATTTAGTTCCCTATTGTTTCCTGATAACCTGACTGTTGGGTATCGTGACCAAAAAGTTGTGTTTTGGCACAACTAAAATATTCCTTGGCTCCTAAAATATTTTTGAATGAGATAACACCCTTCAAAGAGGATTAAATAACCAGCCTAAACTGCTTACTACACTTGGTTCATTTTTCTGCCCTACTCTATGAAGTCCTCAGCTCAATAGGCTTCTAATAAAGAAACAGCTAAAAAAGAAATCTTGTGACATAAAAGCATCTTTCTAATGTTCAGTAGCCATCATTGCTCATGCTTTTTTAAATGCTTTGTCCTGTACTTGACCTTCAAATGTTTGTAGCTGGCTGATCTGGAACTTTTTTGGCTCCACAGCTGTCTAAACTAAGGATGATGACATTGCTTAGAGATCCCTTTGTGTATGTGCGTTTATATACGAATACCATTTTCAAAAGTATACATATATTTACTTTAACATGACTCAAGATCTTGGAAAGCTTGTACATCTTTATCGTATAAACCAAGAACTGCAAAACTCACTGGTGGGACTTGTTATGGCATGAAAGACCCAAGTTACACAATAGGCTGGATTTCAGCAGGTAGAGGAAATTTTCAGAGCTGTTGCCTTCTGGCTAACTGTAATAAATTTGCCTAAGTAATATTTCACAGATGTGCTGCCTGTTTCTTGGCAAACAAGCTAAAGATCACAGGAAATTTCTTCACTTAAAGAATAAAATCAAAGTTTTGAAGACAAAGTCCTTAACCACAACAGAAAAAACATTTAGCTAAAAGATGGGAGGGAGTACTGCAATCCAAGCACAAGAGTTAAAACAATTTTACAGTGAGTTTCTGTTTCTGTTTTATTTGTTTTCTCCTACTATAGCTACATGCTCTATGAAATACGTGAGGCTGTTTTGGAAAATCCATTGCCTGACACAAGTTTCTCTGTGCTAAACTTAATCTTCTAGTTTTATTTTTAGAAAGCTTATGGTTGCTTTCTTCAACGTTGTAGAAAATCTGGCAAAATGCCAGCAAGGTCCAGCAAAATGAAGACCTGTTCTTCTTTCCAAAGATGAAATATTTAAGTTGAAAATAATAAAAATAACCATGAATAATTGTGAATGGGAAAGCAATAAGAATCTTTATCCCTACTTTATTATTTTCACGTAGATACATTGGAAGAAAATAATGAAGCGTTTTCTGTGGGATGGGAGTGAAAAGTAAGTCTATGGAAAGCATGAGATATGTTTGTTAGAGAGCAAATTCTTGAAATGGAGATAGTTCATTGAGTTTCCAGGTGAACAGCATAAGAAACATTGCATCTCAGTGGAGTTCTGGACAGGTTTGGCAATGGCCTGAAGTGTGTGACAAGGGACAAGATGTTTCCTTTGGCCTTGAATTTTCCACCTACACCAGGAGAAACTGTGTGTGTCTACCTTGTGTGTCTTCTCCTTGAAGGCTATGGGTGTAGAAGCATCTAACTTTGATGTAAAGGTCTCTTACAGCTCACATCTACTCTAGTACAGAAACTGAAACTGTTGTATCCCTAAGTGGGTATAAAGGTAGAGCATCATTGCTCCTATCTCATTTTGATGTGCAACAGCAGCCAGATAGGACATGACAAGGACCCAAACCAAACTTGCCAAGGGGATATGATAGAACAGGGAATTTTGATTTTTTTGTTTGTTTGTTTGTAGACTGCTTGGAAAATTTGCTACTTTAAACCTGGTGCCTGGTCATTGACAGAAAACATTCAATAACAAGTTTACATGGTGAAATATGTGAATATGGCCCTAAAACCTAGAAATTCTGTGATTCTGTGATTCTGTGAAAACAAAAAAATAGGAAAGAAAAGCATTGAAGAAGGAGAAGAGGCAAGGAACTATAACCAGTTATATCCTCCACAGCCTCACGTCAGGGTTAGCCTGTGAAATGATGGTTTACAAACTTCGGGAAAGAAGGAAACACTGGGAAATCTGTTTTAATTGTATCCCAAGCTGAAAATGAAGGTTTCAGCAGTTCCACAAAGAAACAAGTGGCAAATGAATTTAACTTTCCAAGGCAAGCATCTAACCCGTCTGCTGAAGGTAAATAAATATATGGCCCCATAGTGTTGAAAGGTTTATCCATGAAGAAGTGGACCACTTGTGCCAAACTGCTGTTAAGAGAGAGGTGGAGCATCTGTAAACTGTCCTCCTCCCTCCCAGCCCCAGATCTGTATCTGCAATCTCTCCATCAGCAGTCCCTGATGTCCTTATCCTTATCAGACTCCTCCAAGACAAAGCGAAGCTGTTGCCCAGGGGAGGATATAAAATCCATATGTCTGAACCTGGGACCTTGCTTGCTAAATCAATCTGCTGATATGGTCTCATATGCTTAGCGAGGAACTTCAAACGGAAGGAGGCAGGAGGGGACTCAATGCACATTCCTCCTAAAGAAAGGGCCATTGATGCATTGACTTTTGAACAAAAGGAGGCATTTTCTAAGTAGTTTAAAATGATCATTTCTATCTAACCACTATCTCCTGGCTACTGTCTGGCAGACAAAATGGTCACAAGGCATTTTGGAGGAGTGTCACCTTCTGTGCTGCCTTTGTACCATGAGGAGACCAGCAAGAGGAGGTTCAGGCTGCCAAAACCAGCCTACAGCATCCAAGGGAGCCCTGAAACCACAGCTCAAGTTCTAGCACACCAAAAAGAGATGGTGGTGGAAGACTTAATGCAGTCTCCAAAGCTTATTATGTTTTGTTATGCACCTTATTATGTTTCCATGAGTGCATGATGTCACACACCACCAGATTTTTATGTGACCATCATATCACTGCTTCATTTTAACAAACAAGAGCTGCTTTTAACTTTTTTTTGTTTGTTTGTTAAAAAAAGAACCCACGGCAGGGAGGAACTAGGAGCATATGCCTGTGCTATAAATAGCAAAGTGGAAGTATCTGTCCTTTGGGGCAGTTTGGTTCTGACTGAACACTTTATAAGACACTGTTTTGCCTTTTTTTTTTTTTTTCTTGAATTTTAATTTAGGCATTTCCAGAAATCCCACAAAATTAGTAGAGCTCAAGGAGAGGATACAGCCATTCACAGGATGAATGGAAAATATTTAGAGGGAAAAAATGCAGAAGAGAAATATTCAGAAGCAGGGAAATCAATGTCAAAAACTGCTATAATAACACAAAAGAAGCCAATCATGTAGATTTTTCTAAATAAACAGACACTAGCAGAGCAGTTACACAACTTTTCAGATCACTATGGTGATCTGGAGGATGCTTTACTATTTATTTTTTAAGTAGCAACAAAAAGAAGAAATGGATTTAATGGAATTTTATAGACACCTTCTCCTCTTTCAAACATCCTAAGGTTATATCTGTCTTTGCGTTATTAGGCTTTTTATTATTCTACCATAATAGCACTCTTGCTATAAATTAGACTGCTTTCAGTCACAGCTTCAGCTTACAAATCCATCAAGTCTATTAGATTTTAAAGAGAGAGAGAGAGGGAAAGATGTTGCTGTATTCATAGGGTTGTGGACTGCTTTTTCGGGAGGCGGGGGAAAGGGGGTGTGTATAGATTGGGGTGAAGTCAAGGGGAGGAGGGAAGGGTGGGAGAGGAGTTGCAGTTCGAAAGTCCCTCCTTTAAAAGTGTCAAACTCCAACCTGCACAGAATGGGGAAAGGGAGACCCCCAGCAACTTCCAGAAAATAATATAAAAGCAAACCTCAGAGGTGGAAGAAATACCCAAAAGGAGAAGACTGCAGCTTGCAGTAATCTGTAAATGATTGCTGGCAAAGACTGGAGGCTTCAAGCTTGAGCTGTGTTTGTTCCAAAAGAAAGCCAAGAAGGACGGTGTTAATAAAGAGAGATTTAACTGAGGGCTGTGCTTGGAATAAAGTGGGCTACAAAAAGGTCACATTTGATCAGTTGGAGCAGATTACAAGGGCTTTAAAAGGTAGTGGTGGAGAAATGAAACTGGGACTGTGAAGCAATATAGCACAAGATTGATTTTGGGGGTGGAGAGAAGCTGGGACAAGTGCTTATCAGCTTGAGAAGGAGGAAGAGCTGTGCTGGGTTTGTTGTCATTCCCACACTGAGTAGAGTACTTGCTGCTTTTGTGGTTAGGCTGCCCTGCCGTTTTCTTTTTTATCATTTTTTTTATTGTTATTATTAATACAATGGTGTCTATAATCTCTGACTTGGATCCTCTGAAAGGCTGGAAAGTTTTAAGGTAGGCCTATGTTTTCTTCTGTTTGGTACAGGCATTTTTTTGGTTTAGCCCTAAATTAACTGGAGCTTGAGTTATAATCGAAATGTGAGCCCTGGGCTTAAGTAAGAGAGGAGTTTCTGGTAATTAGAGCCCTTTTAAGATACAGCAAACCTTTAAGCAGATGTTTAGAGAGACCCGAGGGAGATTTTTAAAATATACTTCTCAGTGTTACAGTGCAGTGAGGAAGTGTGGACTTTTTTTTTTTTTTTTTTTTTAAAGATTGTTCTGTAAATTCAAGTTAATTGTAAAGGCTCGCACCAGTTGAAACTGCAGGATTAACTCTCTGCTTTCCTAGCTGTACTTTGCAGGGGAATGGGTGGGAAACTTTAGGGGAGGAAAAAACAGCGTGGAAGTTGGGGAAAACAGGCTTGTGGGGGTATAAAAATCAAAATTTAAAGAAAGTGCTTGTTTCATTTTGGGTTTGAAACTTCCAGTTTGTTGTCCCTTTAAGGCATGTATTTGATACTGAAAAGTTGTTGCTGATTTTTCCCTTCAGTACTACTATTTGTTCTTTGAATAGTGAAGAACAGTAACTCGAACCCCGAAAAATACTAAGAGGAGGGAAGAGGGGAGAACCCACTGTTATTGCCTGCTGAAGATACTAAAACTCTACAGTGTCAAATGTCTGTGTTTAATGCTGTTCTAATTGCAAGGCTTTCCCTATTGAGAATCTCGACATGTAAAAAGTTTGCAGATGGTTTATAGAAACTTCACTAAAACATTGGAAACATCTGTGGTGAATGTAGTTGGTTAAATTATAAAATTAGTTAAATATAAAGTTTATTTCCTTCAACTGTTATGCAAAACATGAAGCTGCACCTAATAAAGTTTTTTTTTATTATTATTATTTTTTAAAAGAAGCATTGCAAGAATTTTGAAGAGGTGTGTGAATTGTTTTGTTGTTTTTTATAATATATTAAATGTTAAAGTATATGTGAGCTTCTTGCTGCAACTTTTTTAATAGCTTAATGTCATGAGCTGAAAAAAAATCCTCAAAAGTCAAACCATAACATCTACTTACATTATGAGGTTTTTTTCCTAATATTTGCAGAGCGTTGAACTTTCTTTTCTCATAAGTTGAACTTTCTCTGACCATCTTCAGAGCCTGTGCTTAGCAATGTGGACTAAAATCCTTAATGCTTGTCTGTAGGGTGAGAATTGGCTAAGCAGTTTTACTGCAAGTTTAGGTTTTGAATTTTTTTTATTTTTAATTTTTGTTGTTGTTAAGTCATTTAGGACTGTCAGCTTATTGTGACTAGATTTTGTTTGACTTCCTGAACTTTAGCGTAGAGGCTAGTATGCTGCAAGGGCAGCGGTCAGAGTGGCATCAGGGGAGGGTGGTCATATTAGGGTGATCTGAGCTGGAGTGACTCTTGTGAGTCATCCTGAGCAAATGCCAGGAAAGTGCTTTTGCAGAGCTCCATATGTGTTGTCTGCTGCATGTGTGCGCCAGAAAAACCTATTCTAGGAATTATTTGAAAAGTTTATCCCATTCTGAGACAACTTCTGATTCCTCTGCTGATCTAGTCAGGTGATACCAGGTTTTTGCTGAGTGGAGGGATGACATGGAGGACTTGAAAGCTGAGATGATTTAAGGAGGAGAGGCTGTTGCCCTCTCAAAGAATCCTGTTTTCTTAGAAAAATGACATGTTTATATGACTATAGCAGAAATATCTCCCTGGCACTCTTTCCTACAGCATGACAGAAGTTTCCTAACTTTTTGTGTGAACCTGGAGATTAGAGCTTTACAGACACAGGTAGGTCAGTGATGTGATTAAATTGATTTACTAAACACTTCTTTATGTAGTTACTGTGTATGATTGCAGCAGCAACTCTGTACAGGTCATCAGCAGGATGCAGTGTTAAAAGGCAGGAAGAGACACTATTCAGTTCAAGTAAAATCATCGGTGGTAGTAAAAAAAAAAAATAAAAATATTTAGTTGGAAGTCAATATGCAGTTTGTGGCTTGTGACGTTAAATTGTAAAGCCAATTCTACTTTTCCTTATAAATTTTAGCTTCTTTACAAGAAAGTAAAGGTGTCTTCCGCTCAGGTGACATGAAGTAATTCCTTAAGATCCAAATGAAATGCATCAGCAAATGCTGCAGTCAGCTTGAGAGTAGTATCCCATGGTGGCAAATTCCCCATTTCGTTTGTCTTGTGCACCCCCTGTAATTTATTCTGTGACTCACTCACAATTTGAGACCTGCTTAGCTGGAAGGCAGATCTCGTGGCTGGGGGTAAAATAATTGCACTGGGAGAGCTGGCAGAGGTATTAAAACAAATAAATGGTAGCATGGTGTGTATATAATATTACATCAGGCCTCCCTCTTCCATTGTTTCTGTCTGGGGTAGGACGGTAAGAGGTACGATACGTTCCAGAAAGTCTTGGCACACACTGGATTCATGTTAGGGCCTCTGAATGCTGGTTAACGTACAGAACAAAACATCAAAACGCACTTCAGAAAATATTTTCTTTCACTGGATTTCTTGACAGTGATCTGAATATTAAAGTTATTGGAAAATAAATCTCTGAGAGCTCAGATCTTCCTTTGTGTGTGTGTGTGTGTGTATGTATGTATTTCTTTTCAGATAAGCTCCCAGCATAACACCTATGCTTTGACATTAACACACTTCTGCCTGATCTTCCCTCATAGGTGCCTTGTCACTCTCTGTAGTGTAACCGGAATAAGCACTGTCTGTTGGAGTCAGGAGAGGCTGGCAAAACTTCAGGCCTTTTTGAGACACTTCAGAGCTATACCAACAAATGGTCTGTGCTCATCAGCCCTCCATGGACACAAAAATCCCATTTACCTGGCTCTGAAGGGTTACAGAAGGTGGGATCTAGCCCCCTGAGGAGGGCACAGGAGAGACAGAACAGCTGTTCTAATCCCTGTCCCAAACCCTCCCTGTACTTCTGTGGCATGTTTTTTATCCTCAGATGTGACAGGGATGTCTTTGGTCGCTGCTTCAGAAGCCAGATCCTGTGCTAAGAGCCTCAACAGCAGCTAGAGTAGAGCAGTGACCTGGCAGTCAGGAGAGGCCCAAAAAGAAAATCCCTCAAGGCCATGTCTCTTCCATTGCTTCTCTCCCTTAATTTGGCTCCAATAAGACTAACTACAGTGCCATAAATCATGAGTTACCTACACAGGGAAGACCTTGCACCCATTTGCATTCCTCCCTGAAGAAGTATATGACCCTTCTATGGCTCGTTGCTGGGGGGGAGTTTTTAACTTGACTTCTCAACCTCATAGTGAAATCTGAAAAGTAGAAGTTTTCGCTCAGATGAGTGGAGAAGTTAAAGCCTGTGAAGCAGCAAATCTTGCTGTACTACATGCAGGTGACCTAAATTTCACAAGTCCTACTGAGCAGGAATATACAGCTTGGCCAGTGAAGTTGGGAACATGTCCTGTGTAGGATGGATGTACCAATTCAAATATTCTCTCCAAAATGCCATTTCCCACCACACACACCTCTCCAACAGCCTGTAAAGGACAAAAGTGCCTTCTGTGCTTACAAAGTCAGTACAGGAGGTGTAATTTCAGCCTTGTTGTGTTGGTATTATAAGCTAGTTGGGGTAAAAAGTCCTTACCCAACACCCCCCTCCTCTCTTTATTTGTGAATTAAGGTTGGTTAAATGGCTTCAAGGTGCTCAAACTTGGAAAAGAGGGCAGAAATGTCTCAGATTTGCAGAATGGCAAAGAAATGGCTCAGAAATGCAATGGCTCAGATTTAATTTTTGGCATAGAACAGTAAACAGAGAGAACTGTAGCATTGCGAATCCTATTACTGCTTCGGCTCCTGGCTTTCCAGCTCAGCAAAACTTGAGATACAGTAAGGCATCCTCGGTTGTATTCAGTACTGGAGCAAACTGGTTTAGTACGTGGCCCCACAGCACCAAACTGCTGTTCAGAAAGGGGGAAAAATGGTTTCATATATGCTTTACTCTGAGGACCTGAACAATATTGTCTCCACCCACTCCTCAGAAACAAAACCAAAAGAGCCCTGAAGGTTTGGCCCAGAGACATAACGCTGGACTCCATCACCACCAGGAAATAAAGATAATGGAATTTTGGATGTCAGTGGAGAATACTAATTGCTCCATAATTGCCACAATATGCTTGCTTGAAAAAAAAAAAAAAAAAAAAAAGGCGCAAAAAGACGTCTCTGCAAATATGGAAATATGGATCATGGAAGAGATTGCACTGAAAGGGATGTTAGTGAGGGTCAGATAAGTCCCAAGTTATTACGTGGATGAGAATCACCAGGAGGATACAAGTTATGACTAAGCTCTAATATATAAAACATGACCAGCAAAATGTAGTTGGGATTCCCCTGCTTTCAGTTTGAATGTGCGACTCTTCAGTGAGCGGGATGAAAAATTAGGGCCAGCTATATCAAAGAATGTGTTTTTAATCACTTTTTCATCTCTGGTATCCATGCTTTCTCTGCACTTTCCAGAGGACAATACTAGCAGTTTTTCTTGGTTTGTTTTTTTATTTTTTTCTTCATCTTCTTAGAAAGGCATCATATATGGGGTGATTGAAAAAGTGAAGATAACAGAAAATAGCAGATTAAGATGTAGCACACTCCAGCATTTATTGTTGATGGCTGAGAAAGTCATCTAGTCCTTCTCTAAGCCTGTGCAGATTTATTCTTGCATCTTTATTTTTCCCCTGATTAAAATTCAATATTGCTCTTTTCAATAAGAGGTTATTCTCCACTGTTTTACTAAAAACAATCCACTTTTCATATCAAGCCTGTATACAAGCTCATTACATCTTGTTCATTTGGACATGAGTTGTTAAATCTTCCAGGTGCTTCATGGAGGATTTAACCATCCAATTCAAATGAATGTTCTTTCACAAAGAGGTTTACTTATCACTGCCTCTGTATTCCTTTGCCTAATTGTTTAAATTGCCCTAACCTCTAACACATGCAATATAAAATTACCATGCCAGTAATGCAGGTGCTTAGCAAGAGAGTAGGATGCCAAGTGTGCAATTGTATTCTCCCAGCTACCAGCAATTTGCAGTTCAGGGTCTTCCTCTGCCAGCAGTGATGACTTTTCTTGATGAATGATTCCCCCTTGAATTTATCTCACTGGTTTTGCAGTTTTAGCTTTGAACCTGTGACAACTTGAAGCAAAGAAATTTTGCAGCTTGACCCACTGGTTGCATGTACATTAACAAAGCAATGTGTTGGAAGGGCTCTTTTTTAGGTGTAAATTTGTCTTGCTTTTGTGTTTTGGGACACATGGTAGCTTCTTGAAGTCTTTTCACAGAATCCTGACGTGGTTGATGTTGGAAGGAATTTATGGGTCCATCTGGTCCAAGTCAAAACAAGCAGGACCTTGAGATGCTGAATTCAGGTTTATTTCTCTGGAGGGTGGGAAGATCAAGTTTTTTCTGCATCTATTGTACTGCAAAATTAAATTCCTGCTTGGTGATTAGTGACACATGGTTACAAGGGTGTACATTTTGCAGGGTGCAGATAAAAGCAGGATGCTCCTTTCCTACATACATTACTTAGTCGTATCGACTTCCATCTACAATTTCATCATCTTCACTTCACAAGTCAATGAGAGTTCTAACGTGCAGGTCTCCATGCCTCATTTACAACTAACCCATTGCACATTTTAAACTTGTCTGGTTCTGTATTCAACGGAACTAAAATAAGAAAGAAATCACCTGTAGATTGCAAAGGACAGTGGAGATGTTAGATTGTGCTTTGAGAGATAAGGCGGTAATTTCAAGCTTTCCAAGACTCCAAGTCAGTTTGGATGAGTTACTTAATCTCTATGTGCCTCAGTTCCCACCAGTAAAATGGAGTTATTAATACCTGTCTTATCTATATCTATATATTTTTTTTTTTGGCTCTAGAGACTTACAGTTTTCTCCATAGAGAGCCCACAGCAATGAAGGATTGCTCTTCGGCTGGGCTCTTTAGTGCCTGCCCTCATAAAACATAATTTTCTTAAATGAAACTAGAATTTAACTCTTGAGAGCAAGTAATTTCATTCTCATTTACTAAAACCCTTTTCTCAGTATTTCTGCTTTCACAAGGCAGCTTCACAGTCACACAAATTTCCTATGTGCACCAGCTTTTTATTTTTCCAATAAATTGCTAGGCTGAAGCTGGCTGAAGTCTGGAAACCAGAACTGAATGCTCTCTCTGAGATTCACCCAATGACAAATTAGTTTTGTTGTTTTATTTACTTTTTAAAACACTTCTGTTCTAGTAACCCTTTATAACAATTTGTAAGCTCAGTTGCTGTTCTGCTTTATTAATGTGCCTGCTCCCACCCAAAGCTTCATCTCTGCTTTGGTATCCAGCTCCTTCCCTGCATAACTGCTTTTTTTCTGATCTCACTGCTACACAGCTTTTCACAGATTCATTCCTTTCTCTCCTTATTTTTTTTCTCATTCTTTTCCAGTGTAAATGCACTTTTATACACCTGTGGTTCATCACCACTGTTCAGAGGTACACAGATCACATGGCACTTTCCCAGTCTTTGGTAGCATACCCCACTGACTTGTCTGTCAATGTCAGGTGTAATCACAGCAGTGAACCTCTTTAGCAGTTATTTCAGCAGTTATTACAGCATTGTCTAAATAATGGGCTTTACTCTGGTGAAGAGATACTCATTAAGGATCTCCTGCACCCATGCTAATCACAAGGCGCTATACCAACTATGGACCAGAGCAAGCAGGAACTAGGGAGATTTGTGGTCTCCCATGCTGGGTCCCTGCATCAAAATCCAGAAGATTTTGTTTGTTTCTTGCTTGACCTAAGAAAGATCAGATGTTATTGTCCGTAAGGGAACTTCTATAACTGTTCCCTGTGGATGCTGTCTGATGTGTATCAGTGTCTCCAAAGGAAGATGTTTTGACTTCAAGAGCTCAACTACTTCTGAAAAATGTTTTCTGGCACTAAAAAAAATTTCTTAGTGCAACCTAAATGTTAGCACCCAACCTCTTAATATGCTTCTAGTGATTACACATTAAATTTGTTAAAAAACAAACAAACAAAAAAAAAAAAACTTAATGCAAATTGTGTTTCTATGTAACTTTCTTAGATTTTTTTTTTCCTTGATTGTGTGCTTCCCAATTTCACAGCACAAGCAGAAGAGGCTTTTAGCTTTCTATTTTTTTTTTTTTTTTTAATTAATATTCTTCATCTGAGAAACTCCATGCAGTTATTGTGCACAGAGTTTGTTCTGACAATTCATTCTGGGACACTTGTTATTGAATCAGTCCCAAGCTCATGTTAGCAGATCATTGTTCTTACTGGACTCCTGTTGATCAGCAGATACTGATTTTTATTTATTTATTTATTTTTAAACTGAGATTTAAAAGTGAAGATTTTCTAAACAAAGTAATATTGGGAGGCTCCAGTGATTCTCATAATTGTATTGTCTCTCTTTCATTGAATGTGTATATTTCAGATTATTGGAAAAATCTGTCTTGTTGTGCTAGATTTTTTTTTAAAATAGATGTCAAGTTAAATTGTCTGTGGTTGTTTATGCTTTATAAAGACCAACTATTTGGACTTGTTAGAAGATTAAGTTCCTTGTTCAGGTTACTTTACAAGAGTATTCAGTAGTGGAAGACTGATTCTCAGCTGGACATACATGAACTGCAGACTACATTCTCACTACATCAGCAGGTTGGTAGTCTTATCTATAAACTTTTTGTGGCAAGACATTCTCTTGAGCAGCTTGATTAAGTATATTCCACACAAGAGTTTGTAAGGTACTATGGAAAGGCTGGAGTAAACTTTAGCTTTAAAGTTAAAGAAGAGGGAGTTTAGGTTTTGATTTTTCTTTTTTAATTTTAAATAAAGTTCTCTGTTTCCTGCTCCAAAGAGAACAGATGTGCTATAGAAAGGTCTCTAAGCGAGTGTTTTAAAGCTGTGGGTATTCCAGTACCGAAAAAATGTGTGGACCTAACAGTCTTTCTCCACACAAAATTAAAATAGGTTGTAAATATACAAGTGAGTTAATGTATGCTTGTCATCCCAACACTGTACCTTCCATTAGACTCGTTCTTAATCAGGAGACATCGTCAGATTTCAATCTGAAACTGTCTGGTTCTGCAAATAGTAACTAAATTTGCCTTCAAGCATTTGTCAGCTGGACATAACTTCACTTCTCAACCTCTAAGACTGTAATTAATCTTTGCTTGAAGCAAGCAAGGTGTTAGTGCATGTTAACCAGGAGTGGTTTCTAGTCCTTGGGAGGTTTGCTTGGCTTTCCATGTGAATTCCTCCATGAAGGAGTGTGTGATCCATGTTACGTATTTGAGCCTCAATTTACGTGCCCCATCAGCAGAGCTGCTGGACACATTTGCTAATGTGGCCCTTCAGCTGGCCGTCCTTTCTACCCCTCTGTGGTCTTAGGGAAGAATTTCAGTCCTGCCTGCAGCTGTCATTGCGGAAACTGGTGGTGTCCCCACAGTCCTTGGACTTCCCCTTGTTGGAAAAGCTGGTCTTGGCAAGAGTTGCAGAATGCTGCTGACCGGGGTCAAGTTTTGGTTGGACATGCCAAAATAAAGGGTTTATGTAGCCAGAGCCCTGGGAAGAATTACAGGCTTGGAAGGGGGAGAAAGGTATTAAAGGCCTCAAGTAAGTATTTAAACACTGATGTAAACTCTCATTGAATCCAACAGGAATTAATTGGCACAGTCTTTTATGTGACTTTTGGGGTTAGATTTCCAGCTGACATGAACTGACAAAGCTCCTTTGAGCAAGATGTACTGGCTTAGAGTAACTGAGAATTGGGACCCATGTGTTTTGCAGAAGACTTGACATCTTTCTTCTTATACGGAAAAATTCTAGACCTAATGGGAGAAAAAATGTTGTGGTCAGAGCCATTTCTGTATGAATTGCTTCCAGCCTATTGATGCCCAGTTTTACACTGTCTGAAGTCTGGACTCTGAAAACCTCTTGGGAATAAGATTACGTTATGTTTTAATTTTCTAGTTATTTTCCCCATATTTAAAATAAATAGATGACCTGGCTCTTTGCTCTTTCAATTAGCATTCAAGTAGTCTAATAAATTTAGCATAATCTATTAATAAGTTTAAGCCTATAACATCCTAGTTTGCAGGCAAGCTGTGTAAACTCACTATATAAGTTGCATACCAACTTTAAATCACTGAAAAGTGGTGATAGGAAAAATGAAACTTGATGTATCATAGAACAGCATTTTTGTGACACCCTTTTGAGCTAAAAGTTTCATGATTTTTTTTTGACCATATTTTTTTTTATTATTATTTCTGAAAAAAAGCAGTTTGCATTTTTAACCCGGAGCAACATGGTTTCTTCACAGAGCTCTGGGACTGCTGTTTCAATGAGTTCAGACCTCCCAGTTGTTCACCAAGCACTGCAGCTACATCTGTGGTCAGTAACTTGTTCTGTTTGCTGAGATTCATATTATCTGTGGTTAATGAGAGTTTACACTGCATACACAGGTCTTAGAAGTGCAGCTCCAGAATCTTGTTATGAATCTTGTTAGAATATTGTTATGTGATGCCTCAAAGCTGAGTAGATCATGGACTTTGAGGTCTTCACTTGCATCTTACGAGGAAAAAAATCTGTGATATAAATAGAATTTAAAAGTGGTCTCAGTTCTTCACCCCCTCAGCCCAGAGAAAAACAAGTCTCTCTTCTGCTAAGAGATCCCCCTACCTTAAATGTACCCCCTCTAGCAATATTTTATATAGTAAAATATAATCTGAATTTTCCTAACAGTATGTGGCTGAGATGTGGTTATTGCACCCTTTCTTCTCTCTGTTATCTGTGGATACTGCATAGCCATAGACAGGAGAGTGTTCAACAATGAGAATAAGTAATTATTCTTACACTGACAAAACAGCAAACAGTCTTTGATCCACGACAAAGAAAATTTATGTTGTTCACATTGCTGTGGTAGAGTTGAGGAAATGAGAATGAGCATGGATGAAGTTGCAGGTCCAATTCTAGGAGGCATAACTTTATCCTATTATAGGCAGATAAAAAGTAACGGTTGACATAATTGTTTTTGCTACAGTCACAGATATTTACTGTATCAGCATCATAGGAGAAAAATCCTAGGAAAAAAAAATAACTTATGGAAAAAAACATCATAGCCATCCTTTAAGAAAATGTCCTGTAATGTACAGAAACCTAGCTTGAAAGTACTGTGTGCCTGTATTAATCTGACAGTAATAATTGTTGCCTTGTTTTCCTATTAAACTCTCTGCAACTTATTACAGTTTTATTTGTTCCTTGTGTGTTGGCAATTCAGGTTATGGATTAAATTTAAGCAGATATGAAAATGCATGCTAGAACAACAGCAGGAAAATACAATCTCCGTTGATGAAAGCAAGCTATGTACACAGAAAGCTCATGATTTGGACATGAAAAAAATGCTGGATTCCAGGTTGCAACATCACAAAACATGACAATTTGGAGGAAAAAATGAGTTCTGCATTTTTCTCTCTCCGCCCCCCACCCCCCCCATTTGTTCATGCAATACACAACAGCAGTCAGACCACACAAGAAGTTTGCACAAATCTACATGGTGAAAGTGGGATGGGAAAGCAGAATTAGTTCAGCAGCAAAGGCCTGGGCATTTTTTTTATTTCTTCAGCAGCTGGAAGCCTATGTGACACTATGGAATAAAATCAGCTTTGCAGGGAGGAAGCTGTATAATCAGTATGTATGATGCTTTCTTAAGACGTGATGATCTGGAACAGAGTAGTTACCTATATATGGTAGCTTTGTATCTACTGAGTAGTAGCAGCCAATTCTGAATTCCTCGAGGAAGATGATAAAAATATGCTTTAACTGAGGGGTTCCAGCAATAGTTAGCTAATAATTTCAAACCTAGAAAGACTTCCTTATGAGGAGTGTTTAATTACAGAAGCAAAGAGTTACACAGAATAATAAGCACTTCTCAGAAATGGTGATTTAGGCTTTTGTTGTTTGAATTTTGTCCTAACACAAAGGGCTGGGGGGTAGAGGAGGGGGGAATCTTGTGAGATATTTGAAACCAATAACCCACATGACAATTAGCTTGTAGGATACTTTGCCAGTGGATACCACGGAGGCCAGATGCTTAGAATTGGGAGGAGGAAAATAAAATGAATTTAATGGGTGATGAGAGCATCTACAATTAGATAGGATTAAAATTGATGGGAAAGGATCTAAGTCCCCACACTTTGGCCAACTATTATCTGAAGTTGAGAAGAATCTTTCCTTATTTGGGAACATATCCCTATCCATGTAGGCTTTTTGTACCTCTTAGGGATAGAAGGTCGTATAAAACAAACTCCTGTCTGATCCCATGAGACAGTTCCCATGTTACACAAGAGTGTTAAAGTCCTACTAATTGAATTTTCTTTCCTAATGCTGAATTCTAACAGTATTTACTTTCCTGATGCAATGCACCAGTCAAAAAAGCCTGAAAATTTTATTCTGCCTTGTGTTACTGAAGAATATACTTTTATTTAGCAGCAGTATTATATGTGATATCTTAACCGCTTTCTGTACCGATGAGTTCTACAGGGTAATTTTGCATTGCATTAAAATAATTATCCATCACTGTTTGAACTTCGTGTACTCTCAGATAGGTAAATTGTATACTTTTGCAAGCCAGCATGCATTTTGAAATTGTTATGGGAAAGATTTGCATTAGGAAAATGTAGATTTCCTCCCCCTCCTTCACATGATAAAAAATCCCCGTACACAATAGCATTACTGCCACATGTCATGGGGACACTGTGTAAATTACAGAGTTACAAATTTGTCAGCCTAACCAAATGTCTGAAAGAATAATGTCATATTAGTTGTATTTCAGCTGTAAGCCTGGTCTGTTTAAACCTTGATTTGTGTGGCAGCTAGCCATACCAACAGCTTGTGCATGGTTGATTATAAACAACTGTTTTAATGTAACAAGATTCTCATTTAATTCCTGGGAGCTTGATGCATTGATGATCAAAGATAAATTCAGGCATAGCACTGAGGTAAAGCATTATATTAGACTGACCAGAAAAGACAGGGTCCTGAAGATTTCAAGATTGTAAGATCTTTTGTATGTTGCAATGCAAACTTTCTCAAGTTGGATAGTGGACTTGAAAACAGAGAAACAGTACACAGCCAGCCTTGGTATAACTTGGACCTGTTCTGATTTTCAATTAATTCTACTTTTGTGTGGCAAGATCTGTAGGTTCAACCAAGATATTTTCTTAAATAGAAAAACTTTATTACTTTGCAGTTCTAGGTTACTATTCCTCTATGTTCTTTCCATTTTTGGAAAAATTATTGTGGAAAAGCAGAAACCATTGGAACCCCTTTTTCATTTTTATTTTTATGGTGTGTCCGTGTTGTGTTTGTTTGTTTTGCTTACTTTTTTAAAATGTGCACCTTAGTTCAATACTCTTTTCTTGGATGAGATTTGGGATCAGACTTACAGAGGTTTTTCTGGTTAATTTTTTTTCTTGTATTCCTGGTGGCTTCAGTCTTTTGTGTTTGTTTGGTTTGTATTATTTATTTCATTTGCTATGGGGTGTTTTTTATTTTGTTTGTGGTTCTTGAGGATGAAAAGCATCCTTTTCTGAAGCAGAACCCCTAAGAGGCTGTCTGTCTTTAGCTTACTGCCTATTGCCATGAAGCTTGCAAAAACGGTGTTTTTGAGACTGCCACCTTTCTGTCAACTGTCTCTGAAGCTGGTCAAGAAGCTCAAAAGTGGTGGGAGAGGTTAAGGTAATACATATGTGACTACATTTACACATCTGTTTCCTAAGGAGAGTGGGCAAGGACCATGATGTTCATTCCTTCTAGTACCTAAAGAGGGCTGCAGGAAAGCAAAGGAGGGACTGTAGTGACAAGGGGTAATGGCTTTAACGTAAAAGAGGGTAGGTTTAGATTAGATATAAGGAAGAAAATCTTCACTGACAGGGCAGTGAGGCCCTAGCCCAGGCTGCCCAGAGGAGCTGTGGCCACCCCATCCCTGGCAGTGCTCAAAGCCAGGCTGGATGGGGCTTTGGGCGGCCTGAGCTGGTGGGAGGTGACCCTGCCCATGGCAGGGGGTTGGAACAAGATGATTGTTATGGTCCCTTCCAACCCATCACTTTTTTTTTTTTTAATCAGTCAACGTAGCTCAACAAATGTTAGGGGTTTGGTTACTTGAGCATCAAACCTAGAGTTGAACCTTTGAGTGTTTTTTACACTTGTGGTAAATTGAATCTAATCTGAGGTATGAACCTTAATTTAATTACCCCAAAAAGTATTGCTTCTTTGCAGTTTTACTTTTTTTGTTTGTTTGTTTTCTTTGCCAAATAGCTGATTTTGAATGTTCCCTCTTCCCCTCCTGTGGAAAAAAAAAAATACAAAGGTTCTGGCATCAAATAAAATCCAACCTGCATACAAACATGGCTATTAAGACTGGAAAATACTTTAGTTTTGGCTTTCCTCTTTTTTTTCTTCTTTTTTTCTTTAGGGGGGGTGGGAGTGGTGCAATTCTACTTTTCTCCATTTTCTTTTTAAGAAAGCAACAGTAGAAGCTATGAAACTTCATATTCTTTGTTCTGTGTGGTGGTGTTAATGGAGGGGCAGGGCAGAGAGGAAGAATAGCCTTTGTTAAGAGTTTGATATTTGTATCATGAGGAAATACAGTGTTGTCCATCATCCCAGTATGCAGGAATCCTTAGGAGCAAAGGTAATGAATTTATTACAAGTATTGCCAGTTTTCATAGTTATAAAATTCCTTGGATTCTGGAAAAAAATAATTATGTGAGTGGGGATTTCTAGTCTATAAAAATTCATGGAAAGGCACAGATGCTCACTTGTACACAAAGACATTTAAGGTCAATAAACTTTTCAGTCAGAACATAAAAATGTACAAATTTGCTAGTAGAATTTTCCTTTAATATAGAAAACCACATAGTGGGGCTTTCTTTATTTCCACCCTAAGATTATTGCGGAATCTTAGGACTTACTTTGAGATCTACATTTCTTTTGAAGCTGTCAGTCCACAAGTTTCTGAAATAGGAACTTTTCTGACCTCACAAGGTAACAGAAAAAACCTCTCTAAATTCCCTGTGAACTTCAGACCAAATGTTGGCTTCTGCTTCAACTGTGATATTTTATTTTCCAATCAATCTAAACTACTTGTGATACAAGTACTACTTGTTTCCTGACTTCAAGCAGAAGCATCTATCCAATCTGTGGGCAAAATTTTCATGTCCTTTAATGCATATTAAAGAAACTTCTGTCCAGCTTTCAAAGAAGACATCAGCTTGTGAAGATTTCCAACAGGACACTTCAGGAAAATATTGGGAAAAGATTTTATATTCTCATGCTTATGGCTTGCAGTTCTTACTCTTAAGACTTCGTACCAGGAGTAATCAATCTTATTG